TACTATTAACTCATAACAAAAATAAAAAACAAATAAAAATAGGCTTTGCAACATCAAAGGAATTGAAACACTGGTGTTGCCTGTCACCCAATTTATTTAAAATATACCTCGAAAGCGTTTTAAAAAGATTCAAACAAAAACGTAGAATAATGGGGATACCACTCACTAACACTATGATATATACGCTCAACTTTGCAGACGATCAAGTAATATTGGCTCAATATTATGACAATTTAAACTATATGGTTTAAAAATTAAAGAGTACGATATATGACGTTTAGAAGTCAATACAAAGAAAACCGAGTACTTGCGCATTGGAGAACAACAAAAAGATCTCATATTAGACAACAAAACCACGATAAAGCACTGCTGCGACTACAAATGTCTGGGTATCATTATTTCGCACGATGGAACATTAGACAAACTCATTAGAAAAGAAATACGACAGGTAGAAAAGCCATTACAATTAATGATGCTATACAATATTTTATGAGACCAATCCATCAGTAAAGAAAATAAAAAGTGGACATATGAGGAGAAAAGACCTATGAAACTACCGGACGAAGATGCAGTTGGAAGTCGGAAAACGGCGGAGAACGTTATAAACTGACATATAGTATATAGTGACGATTAAGAAGTTTTAAAAAAGCTTGTTGTAGGACCGGTTGAGGAGTATTATGTTGTGAATAATAGTTAAGAGAGTACTGTTAATTTTGTTTAGGTTAGGGCAACTTCTGAAGCAGCTTTATGAAGATATGCGTCAATGATTCTAGGTTTGCCTCCAATATACGCTGACCTCCGTAGCCCACCTCCAAGTTCTTACGTTCAGCAAATTGTGCTTATTCGCTCTCCCATATCTTGTGATCTTAATATTGGTCTTCTGCCCAGCACTTTACCATCTACAGCTCTTCTCGACAGCCTGTCATCATGACACTACATGACCAGCCCATCGAAGTCCCTGGGTCTAGCAATAGGTGATTCTTTAACCCTTACAGACCCATGACAAGATAAGGTTTTGCAGAAGGATACCAATGTCTTGTTTTTACTGTATTTGGGTTGCAAATGACATTCAATTTTTTTCAGAATTTTTTAAGGACCCTCAGGACGTTTTTAAGGACCCTCACAATTGTGTGCCTCGGTTTCATACAAAACAGCCTCACAATTGTGAGATAGTCACAATTGTATACTCTGGGACTTAAAAACTTCTGAGTAAAATAAAGAAATAAAGACGATATTAAAATATTTTATTCAAAAATATTGACAGCAGATATATTGAACAACTTAATACATAATGTAAACATATATTACTTAAAACTATCGCGTATGAAATGCTTTAAAACAATTTTTGTTTTTACTTAAACATAAATAAATATTACATTTACTACAACGTATGCGTGAACGGCTTTGACAAGCTTCCAACCGACAAGAAAGCGGATTTTGTAAATCATCATTCAGAGGCCAATGCTCATAACCATCGTAACGTTTATCTTGTTCAGGTAATTTAACCGGAAATCGTTTCAGTTTCTTTTGCGGATTTTCCAATTTGTCTTCATTTTCTCCATCTTCGCTCCCTGCACCTTCTGTGTTATTACTTCTTTTAGGTCTCAAACCTCCAATCAGAAACTCTCCCAAAGCTATCCTGAATGACAGAAAATCCATTATATCTTTCCTGCGATAACCATTAGCCCTACAGTCCCTAATATACTCCATCCAACTGTTTACTATCGCCAAATCGAATAAGTGTAGAATTACTTTGAATGGCCACTTACGAGTTTTGAAATATGTTCTATATAATTCCATCATTTGGTCGCATGTATCGACCCCACCCATATTCTGATTGTATGTTTTAACAATATTAGGGCATGAAACTTCGACAAAACGTTTCTCAGATTTACACCATCTTTTTACTACGGCTTCTGGCTCGACACTAAGTGCAATAGACAACATCAGGACACCTTTATTGTCTTTCCACTTAACAAGACACATTAGGCTATCACATCTAGTAAACTGTTCTGATTCTCCTCTAGGCATTTCTTTGTCATTTTTGAGGGCTGCTGGTGCTTGTAATCTGTTACTCATAACGGTACCCGTTCCATACACTCCAATTTTATTTAATTCCTCCATTAATGTTACAGAATTGAAATATCTGTCAAAAAATATATGACTTCCTTTCGGTAAAGTATTTGCGAAATATAATATGACAGAGGAGCCTAGGCCACAATTCTTGAATTTTGCGAACGCAGATGTGTTGCCTTGATATATTTCGAAGTCCGTCACAATACCTGTCGAAGTAGTCATTACAAAATTTTTCAAACCCACGGGCCTAGGTTTGTTTTTGACGTACTGCTTCAGTTCACATCTGCCTAAAAATGGTATCATTTGTTCATCGATTGAATAATTTCCCGTTGGTCTTTCAATTTCTCTACATCTTTTTCTAATAAAATCTATCATAGGTTGAACTTTCCACAATTTATTTTTTTTTTGTTTTCGTTGGAGACCCGGTTTTCATCTTCCACATGGAAGTTTGTGCGGAGTGTAAAAAAACGATTTCTTGACATCGTATCAGCTACAACAGGAAGTCTAAAATTTGATTGCCAGTACATACGTATTCGTGGATATTTAATGCATCCCAAAATTGCATGCATTCCAAAAAACTTTTTAATTTCTTCAGAAGTTACATGCGGTTTTAGTAGATTACCATTTTTGTGTACGTAGTATTGATTTGTACGTACTGCGGCCAAATCAAAAAATGCTTGTGGTAAATATTTATCAAAATATTGAAATGGAAATGAAATATTTCTCCAATATCTCCAACTACTTCATTTGAAACATCTACTTGAGGAAATGGTCTTTTCTCCCACGTAAAATTTTGCTCTCTTTTATGACATTTGTTGTTTTTATTTTCATGCTTTTTTACGATTGGATTTGAAGCATTACTTGTGGAAGCAACATTTTCATTTATCGAGTTATCATCATCAGAGTCACTATTTTCTGATTCATAAGTAGGACATGTAGGTTCAAGTATAGGCTGCCACTCATCGTCGTCTTCATTTTCGAACTCAAAATCGGAACCAACATCATCCAAAATGTCGTAGATTTTATCTGGATTGGCTCGTATGTCGTAAGTTAATTTTGGAACTTGAACCTGTAACAAAAAGATTTAATTTATTTACACATATTTAGGTAAGCTACGTAGTCATTGAGACCCAAAGGTCACAATTATGACATTCATCTAAATACGATTCTGTGTCACCAGATCTCAAACTTGTTATTAATTTTTTTAAAACATTGTAATTAATAACCATTTTACAATATGATCTCCATATCAACGCTAAAAATACACATTGAAAAATAAACAAAATAAATACTTACGTTTTGACGCCATGACAACAAATAAAACACTACTTTGAGAAACGAATTCTTCGTCGCATTTGCAAATTAACCCCACTTTCGCACAAAAACGTAGGTAGGCGGTATAACACAATCGAACGATTCGGGTCTAAACCAAGTCATAAATTATTTTGACCTTTATTTAGTAGTTTGTTATGACACTCACGATTGTGAGTACAGGGTCTGTAAGGGTTAAACAGATTGTAAGGTTCATGATTATATCTAGATCTCCATACACCATTTTCGATGTCCAAAAATCTTTGTTAGAATTGTTCTTTTGGGAACTTCTAATTTCCTCTTTGCAGTCTGCGAGAAATGGGCTTTCTGATGTTTCTGTTCCCTCTTTATTTAATTCGACTCATAGATATGTGAAGCGCTCCACTGCTTCAACATTTACTACTTTGATTTGATTCCTCGTTCTCTTCTGTCTTGTCTGTATTAGTGTTTTTGTTTTTTACCCCGTTCTAAGCCGCTCTTTCAATTGTTTCAATATGTTTATTGCCTTCTTTACTCGACGAAACATCACGTTAACGTCGTCCACATAGGTCTGAAGTTGTACTGATTTATTTGTTAAGAGATTGTCTCTGATATTCAGTCTTATAATACATTCAAAGGCCAGATTGAGTCAGCCCATCGCGTTGTTTTAGATCTTTGACTATTTCAAAGTTTTCAGTAAGTTCATTCTGTAAGCGGACCATTGCTGTTGTTGAATCCATCGTTGCCTTTATCGTGATATATTTTAAACAGATGTTACAAGTTTACCAAGAGGTTATATGTATCGATAACGCCGCCGCACGCGAAATCGCTTGCTAACAGTGTTTCTCTCTGCCTTCTCTCTGTGTGGCCGCACTCCCACTAATAACTTACAACTACCGTCGATGCGCGATGGAGATAAAACACCAGCCAAAAGTATAAAATGCCATAAAGAACGACTAGAACTATATTAGATAGACCGCGAGTATTGATCTAGCAAGAACAACTATATTGATCTCTCGAGCAGTTATCAGAGTCCTCCGTCCTTTCCCGCTGCGATCAAGTATTGATCGACCGTTTCCCACGGTCTTTGGGTATTGACTACAGATCGTCTTTGGACCTACCCATCTAAACCCCGTTAACATATTCTGTTTACGGGATTCGTCTTTTTATTTTACATATTTTATAGAAGGAAATTTTATTTTGTTTCGTTATTTATTTGAATATATTTTTATTTAAATTAAACTTGTGTTATACTGAGTCTGGTATCTACGTCAGCTACCGTCACATATGTGGCTGGCTTTTCTTTACTGAGTCATAAGCTTATTTAAAATTAACGAATATATTATGAACTTTAATATAGTGTTCCCAAAATTTATTTAAAATTTATTGTTGATCTATTGTCGATTTTCGAGAAATAGACAATCTTAAATTAAGAAAATGTCAGGAACTGAAATAAAAATATGAATAAGAATATCCAGAATGCATATATCAAAAGAAAAAATCTTAAATATTTCATACTCAAATATTTTAAAAACAATGTCTTCGTATTTTTTTTTGTTCTCTAAATAAAATCTTTTTAACCCTAGTACATTGTGACAACCAACCTTAAATTTAAAAAAATGTTGGGTACTTACCTGCCAGCTTAACTAATGTTGCAATATTCTTGAAGGCAGTATCATTGTTCAAAATATCGGCAATATTGAATGGAGCTGTAGTTGGTGACGTGGCAGCACTGCTTGTGTTTTCTGCTAAAGTGGCTAGTTGTGCTATATTGTACTCGGCAATACTAGAAAATCCTTGGGAAAACCCTTGGTTTGAATTGACGTGGGATAAGGGAGGACTCTGAGCCATCAACATTTGTAAATTGTTTCCAAGTTCCCCATCGAATGAAGACTGCATGGATGTGGGTAAGGAAATCGGACTGGTTGTTGTTACCGACGGAGCGCTACAACCGTTTGTGACGATAGCAGGTGGGGAGTTGTTGATTCCATTGATGTTCAAGGGAGGTAATTCAGGTAAAACTGGAGAAGACTGTGATGTTTTCACGATTATATCTTCCTCTGTAGCAAACTTTCCGAAATTATTCCTGATAGCATATTCAAATTTATCCAACTCAGATTTGAACTCAATACTGAAGCATTTTTCCATTTTGGGTGTTTTGTTGATTAAAGTAATCAACCTAGTGGCAAGTGCTGTTCTTAAATACATCATCTCTTGTGCCGTACCGCCTTCCAATAAGCTTGAGGTGCATTTACAGGCATCTTCTAAGTTAACAATTGTCTTGCCCAACTCATTACTTTCTTGCATGAGGACTAGCTCACGTTCGTGATACAAGTTGGTCAGCTCTTCTAAAATTTCATCTTTACATTTCTCAAGAACAGCCTTGTAACTCTGATATGATTCATTGATAAGATCTCTAGCAGTGCAGCGCTGGTGGGAAAGTTCTTCCATATTATTGTTCAAAGTAGCAGAAGCTTTGGTGAGGTTTTCAATTTTATCTTTACTTCTCTTAACCAAACTTTCCATCTCTTGTCTAACTCTCGGTTCAGAGTCGAGTATACCCTCAAACTGGTGGCCTTTATGATCAGTTTTAATACATTCCGTACAAGCTGTTACATTGCACATCAAACAATAGAAGATAAGATTTTCACCAGAATGAAAATCACATACTAGAGGCTTATGAACTGTTATCTTAATACCAGATTTAACCATATCTTCCAGAGCAACAACCTTGTGTGACTCAAAACATCTCATAAAATGATGAGCCTTGTCACAGTTATTACATAGAAGGTGTTGGCAGGTGTTACATTTGGACTTGGCCATTTCCTTGGCAGTGCAGGAAGTGCAATGCAAGTCAGGGGAGTTTGAAACATCAGTAACATTTGTCTTTGATACGTCAAGTGGGAGAGCAGTCAACTTCTTTGTTCCAACCTGTAATAAATGCAATAGATTTGTATTTAACATTACAAAATACATTATCAAACCACAGTTTCTATATTTTAGTCAAATCAGATCACTGGATGTATGAAATACCCAAATCAGTTAACTAGATTTTTTGGAATACTTATTTCAAGTTTGATATTTACAATAAATTTAAATTAAATAATAAATGATAACATTTTTTGGTCCTTTAACAATAAATAATTTATTTCAGAAGTCATTAAGATTAACTCCATATTTTGAGTCAATTTTTGCAATACAACTCAAATTCAGTAGCAGCTGCTGAAGAAGACAATTTTTTAGTGTAGTTTAATCATAATTAAACTAAAATTAGTCACCCACAGCTAGTTCGCATGCATAGTAGAATACTACACCTGCACTCTGGGTAACGCTAAATGAACTAGCACATACTAGTAGTCAGACAATCCTTAGGATCTCCTGACCAAACAACACTTCCAACAAAAGATGATAAACAAAATAAACAGCCCTTGTGAGGAACGCACAACCAGACCAATCGTACCTATAGTTCGAATTTGCCACAGATATTTGCCACAATATAGAAGGCAGAAGCTATGCTACAAGTCAGTATTTATCAAAACTATTAAAAGATGACAACATTGACTTAGTTGCTATACAGGAAACCCACTGCGAAACAGCCACATATGTCAAAGAAGATATTGAAAATGCTTCGCTAATCTCTACTTCCACTGATGGCTGTATTTATAATGTGGTCACAAAAATCGCTATCATTACCGTGCCCAACATTTACAAGCCACCTGCTACGTCTTGGCCAGCCCAAGCAATTGAAGTACAGCCTCACCGCGCTATATATGTTGGAGATTACAATAGCCATAATGAACAATGGAAGTACAAAAATAGTGATGCGAATGGGAATGCTTTAATAAAATAGGCAGAAGACGAACGCCTGTAAATTTTGATGCCAAAGATCGACCAACCTTCAGATCCGCGGCATGGACGCAGGAATACAATCCCGACCTATGCATCGTCTCGACCGACAACAAAGACTTACCTTTAGGGGCTTCACAATGAGTTCTAACTAATTTCCCACACAGCCAACATCGACCAGTAATAATAGAAGTAGGGCCGCAAATCCCTTTAATTAGTTCTATCCCACGTCCAAGGTGGAATTTTAAAAAGGCCAGTTGAATTGACTTCTTCGCGGAACTGTATAAATGCCCAGGGTGGATTACACCATATATCAAAAACTACCACAGATTTGTAGGTGCCGTGCTACGTGTAGCCAAAAAACACATACCAAGAGTCTATCGCAAAGAATATATTCCTGGCTGGTCGGAAAATAGCGAGGAACTACATTCTTAATGGATATGAGGGTCTTAAGGTGTTCGTTGAACTATTATATGAAATGAACAAAATTTGATGGTTGGGACATGATTTTGTAGTATGTTGATCGTATAGTACTCAACTTATAAATTAAAAAAGGCCCTATCTGTCATAAAGCAACACTAGGTACATGAGAAATATAAAAGGATAAGTTGAGTTAAAGGTATATACTGACCTTAGTTTTTAAAAAAGAACTGGTTGTTAATGGCTGTTAAAATTGAGTAAAAAAGAAAAAAATTATGGTGGTTTTTGAGAAAATAGTGAGATACGAAAAGATTACAAAAGGCTGAGATCCCCAGAGAACCGCAACCAAACCCTAAGGGAGTTAAGTGGAAGGGTAAAATGAGAACTGTGGGGTTTGTTTGAAAGGGATGCTAATAGTCTAAAATTTTGGCGTTGCCGACAAGAAGCAGGGACGACATGTGTAGGGGCGGACTTGAAGTTTGGGTTGAATGGAGAGAAGAGGGGAAGATGGAAATATGATGTGTTGAAATAAAAATTTTTGGAGTGGACTAAAGAAGATGACTGAGGTGAACGAATAGTTATAATTGTAGATTTTAATTGTAGAAGTAAATTAAGGGTGAAGATTATGAGAATAGTTGGCGATGGAGAGGGAGGAAGTCTTGATTGAAAGATACATGACGATTGACGCAATTTGGGGTTTTTTGTTTTTCTTTAAGAATTTCAAGGTCTTCGTATAAGTCTAATTTAAGGAAATTTTTTTGGGGGATATTGTGGATAAGTGAAACATTTTCTGGGATATTGAGGGTGTGGTTGTGTTCTTTGAGATGTTGAGATAAAGTGGAAGTATTTTCTCTTTTTTTGTGTTCTAGAGTATGTGAGGATAGTGATCTGCATGTTCTACCTATGTAGGAGACATTGCAATCTGAACATTTTAGTCTATACACTCCACTCCGATCCATATAATTGATGGGATCTTTGGAATTAGAAATGTGTTGACCCAAATTGTTCGGTACTTTAAATGAAACATGGATGTCTTCAACTGAACGTTGGATGAGATTTCGAATATCTCCAGAAAGACTTTCATGATAGTATGGGAGTGAAACGTAATTGGGCTTGGTGGTGAGGTCTCTGGGAAATGCAGTCTCCTGCACGTTCTTAAGGCGTTTTCTGCGGATGAGTTTGTTGATGATGTGATCATATCCATTGTTGACTGCTATTTGTCTAAGTATGTTAAATTCTTTTTTGTAGTTTAAGTCTGAAAGTGGAACAGTTTCTAGGCGATGGATGTAACTGTGAAAAGCTGCATATTTATGCGACATGGGGTGGTTGGATGAAAATGGAATTATGTGGTCAGTCTGTGTAGGTTTCCTATAGATACTGAAGTCGAAGTGGTCATTTAATCTGGTAATGGTGAGATCAAGAAAATAGATTGACATGGATGATTCTAGTTCCATTGTGAACTTGATATTGGGGTGAATTTGGTTAATTTTGGAAAGTAAAAGTTCAGCTGAATTGGAATTACCTGAAATGAAGACTAAACAGTCATCGACATAGCGAAACCAATGGAGTAATTCAGGGTTTTTCATGATCTGTGTGGATTCTAAATGATCCATAAATACATCAGCTAATAGAGGAGATAGATAGCTGCCCATGGCTAAGCCATCAGGTTGTCTATAGTATTTATTGTTAAAAAAATCTTGATCTAAACAAAGTTGAAGTAGTTGGATTATGGAGTTAGTGCTAGATAAGGTAATGGAGTTGGCTATCAGAAGAGAATGAACCAGATTAGTTGTTTCTTGTTTAGGGACAGACGTCCCTAAATACAATAGATTGCTAACATCAAATGAGAGCATAGTAATGTTGGGGTGAAGATTAATGTGTTGTAAGTTATTGACTAGATGACTAGTAGTTTTGACTGAAAATCGAGGGGTGAAGTTCATCATGTTGTTAATAAGATTCAATATAAATTTTGATAAGATGGAAACTGGAGTGTTTATGAAACTAACAACTGGACGAATGGGAATGCCCTCTTTGTGTATCTTAGGTAGACCATACAGTCCGGGTATCAAGGGGTTGCTTGGGATTTTATAATATGGTGCAAAATGTTCTGAGAAGAAGTCTGTGAAATGTTTAATATTGTCTTTTAATTTATTTATGAACTTTTTTGAGGGGTCTGTTGTAAATAAAGTCAAGTTACTATTGTTGAGGAAAGTTGAGACTTTCATGTTTGATCTAAGATCACTAGACAGTTACCTTTGTCAGCTTTACTGATGATTAAGTTGTGGGATTTGATTTTATTCTTAATAGATTTGAAAGTCTTGAGGTTTTTTTGCATTTGTTTTGAGAAAGCTTATGAAAATTAGGTGTTGAATGAAAATTTTGAATGTTATAAGAAAAGTTAGAAGATGAGGGTGTGTTGGTATTAAGTATTGTTGAAGAATTAGAAGAATTTTTGTTTTTGAATTTGTTTATAGTATTGAAGCAGGAGTTTCTGATTGAAGTTTTTTTGATTTAACGGGACTAAGAGGTTTTGGATAATAATATCTAGCTCAATGGAGAGACTCTGAAGGTCTTTTTTGGAGACCTTACGAGGAATGGAATATTTGAGACCTAGATTTAGTAAGTGAAGTTCATTATTGTCGAAGGTAACTGAAGAGAGATTTTTTAATCTTGGGTGAAAAGAGAAATAAGGGAATTTACTGTTGTTGTTACTATTACTATTTGTTGATTTAGATTTATTTTTAAAAAATACTAGTAGTAGTAGATTACTATACTATCAACATCATACAAAACCATGTCCCAACCATCAAAGTTTGTTCATTTCATATAATAGTTCAACGAATACCTTAAGACCCTCATATACATTAAGAATAAAATTAAATTCCACAACTTAATCACCAGTAAAGATGACACCATAAACTTTTTCGTTTTACTTAGTTTTAACAGAGCCAACCATAACCATTCCATTATCACAATTAAAGTCAATATACACCTGCCAACGTATAACTTATCCTTTTATATTTCTCATGTACCTAGTGTTGCTTTATGACAGATAGGGCCTTTCTTAAGTTATAAGTAGATTACTATACTATCAACATACTACAAAACCATGTCCCAACCATCAAATTTTGTCCATTTCATATAATAGTTAATACACTAAAACTTCCAAACCACTTAGTCTGTTAACACATAATCAGATGTTTATGTTCATGAACTTATAACTCAAAAAGTTTTACATTTCCAGGTACCAAATGTTGTTTTTTGACATACAGGGCCTTCTATAATTGAGTTATAAGTTAAATATTACATGAACATCATACTACAAAAGTTTTATTTTTATTCATTCAAGAACACTTTCATATTTTAAATATATTCATTCATATATCCCACCAACAACAATATAATTTCAAGAACTCAACTTCCCACATAGTTTCTATTTCTATGTCTAGTTTCTATTTTCCAGGTACCAAATGTTGTTGAAACATAAAGGGCCTTATATTAAAATCTCTATTTCACCACACTACTGCACACATGTATAGTTGGTTGACCAACTATAACCACATATTTTTCTTTCTTTCCACATATCATCTTATATACATAATTTTAAAACAACAACAATGATGGTTGATACTGTTATATTAATTTACTTTAACAATTTTAAATAATGTTGGCTTTTGTCTTAAGTAGACGCATACAGTTAAGTTGGCTGCTCTATTACGATGTCCATCCTAACTTGTCAACATTGTCATTCCAATCAGTTGCTTCCATACAATCTTCATAGACACACCATTTCAGGACTAGCAACTTCAACATGGAGTCATATGTCGCCATGTTACCTTATCCAACAGTAACTTTAACATCTTAACATATTATAAGAAATACTGTAAACCAAATGTAACTAATTATTTGTTAACGGATTTTTACCCATATATTTAGGGCTACATTCATGTACTCCTAGTAAGTATTAACCGCACTTTGCATTAACCTCAGTCAAAATTTCAACCACATGTTCTTTTTAATTAAGTGGTTATATATTTTCTAGGACACTGATGATGGAATGTGGATTTCGAAAACATTTTGTATAATTAGCCTGTTGGGGTTTTTTAATATATACATTTTATAAAAGTTTTTTAATAAAATTTTTTTTAGAACTTAAATTATGTTAGTGAACATTGGCCACTTATTGAATTTGAATTTCAATAAATAATGAAAAGATACTTATATCGTCCCTACCATTTCCAACTATCGAATGTGAAAAGTGGTACTTTTCAGGAGAGCAAAATAACTCTTTTTTAGAGAATTCTAAATCAGCGCTCTGACAAATGGAAAATTTTTTATATTTTTAAAAATTATTGTTTGATCCTTGTTAGATTGATATCAGAATAAAACTGCTTACCGTTTGCTTCTTTCCACAAAATCACATTCGTTATTTTGCTTTTTGTGTTAATCAACGATTTGTTTTGGTCCAATGTTTTAAAATTGCGAATGTGGCATTTTCGACAGTTCATATTTGTATAATTTTAGCACATTTATTTGGTGCAATGTTTCAAAATTGCGAATGTGGCATTTTCGACAATTCATATTGGTCTAATTTTAACACTTTAATATTCTTAATTGAAAAGGAGGAAAATGAAAATAACCTTAATGTTCTTACAAAGTTTATTACAAAATATTTAATTAAAAATTTGAGTTATAGGGTAAAATGGAAAATTCATGTATAAAGAAATTATTAAAAGTATTTTTATGAAAGTACGTATTGATCGAAAACTAATGTAATTAGAAAAGTTAAAAATAATCACAATACAATTATGGAACTTCACGTCCTGTAGATAACTCAAGTAATCAGTAGTAAAATAATGATAAATTAAAGTAAAGTCTTAAATTTTAGATTCAACATTATCATTGTCTTCAGTTGCGTCAGGTTCTGGAAGACAATCTCTGGCAGTATTAGATGTTGGTAAAGATTGGTAATATTGATTGTATGGCCTAGGTACATAGTGAGAAGAGGTTTTTTTTCTTCACATCCGTGATTGAAAGTATTTCGTCATATGCCTTAACAAAGTTTATACTATTTTGTTTGTCTCTTTTTTTGTATGGTTTCAAGAGATAAGAAGTTTCCGTCAATGCTAGTCTTCATGTAAAGTTTGTTATTTTCATTTTTCCGATACTGGTACCATATACACTGTGTGGACGACGTCCCAAAGGCAGCATTCTTTAATATTTGTTTAAATAATTCTCGCTTTGACAACATCACTGTTGGTTTGGTTTAGCTATACCCAGTTAACTGAATAATCAGATAATGAAAAACCGATAAAAACAAGATAATAAGGTCCTCACCGAAAGAACTTCTTGGAAGAAATAATTCACACAATTATTGTGAATACGTGCGTTTTGTTCTTGTCAGCAATGTTTAGTATTTTTAACATTTTGCAAATTATAATTGAATAATTGTATCAATTACAACTCTGAAACTAATGTATGTAACACATTAAAAAACAAAATAATTAAGTGCCCCACCGAAAGAACTTCTTGGAAGCAATAATTCACAAATTGTGAACACGTGCGTTTTGTTCTTGTCAGCAATGTTTAGTATTTTCGACAGTTTGCAGATTATAATTGAATAACTGTATCAAATACAACACTGAAGATAATGAATGTGACACATTCGTCATTTTGCATTGTACATATATATGCCTTTAGTTATATTTATACAAAACAAAATATCGAATATTCCATTTTCGTCAGTTTGCAACATATTCGATATTTTGACCAAAACAAAATGACAAAATGTTCATATTCTATGGTTTAGACAGAATATTTCTCGCGTTTCTGATCAAGCTACGATTTTGATATTTTGCTACAAGGTGTATCAAGTTTAATGCAAGGACAAGGTATCGAATCTGAAAAACCCGATTTTTCACATTCGATAGTTGGAAATGGTAGGGACGATATGTAAATTTATATTGCATAAACACAAAATAACAAAAATTTCATTTTTGCTACTTTTTCTTGTTTAAACATTAACAGTAATAGAAGCACATGCATCATAAAAAAACTTACCAGGGTTGAATAATTACAGATTGGGCATTTAATTGAAGTGTCTGTTGATCCAGCATCTCCAGCTTCCCCGACAAGCTTTTTGCCTAGACATTCTTCGCAAAATGTATGTAAACAATGCAGCATTCGAGGTAATACCAGCGGGCCACTAAAAATATAGGGTTAGGATATAAAAATCCTTGATAGAAATATCAATAATAAATCCACTCACCCACACATGCCACAGTTATCTGGATCTGACAATGAGCCGTCCTCTAATGATTTCTTATCGCTTCCATCTAACATTGTCTCAGAAAAGTCTTCGAATTCCTCAGATTTTACGCCGTATTCTGTTGATTCTGAAAAGTCGTCCTTAGTATTTGTACCCATAGTTGCAAACTTGTATAGTGTAGTAAACACAACACTGAAGTTTTTTGTAATAGTAGGCCTGTTTGTCACGAAATTTTAATCCCGTGAAAGGTTTATCTAAAAACATTTAGCTCATTAAATATTATCCACCAACATTTCTGTCATCTATATATAGAAACGACAATGAAAACTATCAGACGAAATGATGTATTAAATGAATAAATAATTTAACATACATTTATAATAATACTATGATATAATACCTGTCATACATTATCTGTAAACTACATACAAAACGATCTAAATTTGATAAAAACTTACCAATGCCATTACGAACTAATGTTTTGCAAATGGCGTGTCTTGCGTCTAAGCGCAAGGGCAATAGGTTATTGAGTATGAAGGGGGGGAACGTCAAACATCCGCAGAACCCGGGAAAACTATCACAATCAAATTTCACCCCTATACATAAGTTATTTAGGGAATAAAATTCAAAAAGTGTTTTACACACATTGCGCGGAATAGATATAAAATATGTCGATAAATTTTATAAATTTTTATTGTTGAACTAGTTAATATTGTTCTAGAAGTTCTTATGAGATGTCAAAAAGATACAAACTTATATTAAAACTTATATTTTCAATGGAGATCGATTTTAGAATAATTTAGAAACGATTAATATCCAAACAAAACAAATCATATTTACTTACCCTTAATACACTTGAAAAAATAATACAAAAAGTAGCAAAACGTGTAATAATATAATTATAGAAAACAATAGTTCATTTTTTAAACTTTGTTGACATTGTCAATGCCGTCTTTCTACGAATTATTAAAAAGATGGATAAATATAAAATGTGTGGTCCTGAATATTAACTTTGACTAAATGTATTATAGGCCTCTGCTTTATCGATCAATTAATTTAACAATTTTTTTTTAATATTTAAAGAATATATTTTATTGGATATATGTAAATACAAAATTTCATTTAATAATTTTCTTGTTCTATCTTATTCAAAAATTTTATATGTTTCTGTCTTTGTTCTAGTTTTACATAATCGTATTATATATGACACAATATTAGGTATACCTATATAAAATTGTAAAATAATCCATCCATGATATAATATTTAGATAAACACTCAAATTAGAATTAAATTAATTGTTGTAAAAACAAGGACAATTGCAAGTAATTATGTCAATAATAGACAGGACCGGTCTCGTTCATATTTAGGCACAGATTTATGTATTAACAACATTATTTCTCTTTTCTTATGTCTTTTCAGGCGCAGCATCAATATTTTTTCATAAACATTAAATAAAGTTTTTAAATAAGTTTATTAGAATTGCAGGAACAATTTAGTCAAGTTGTCAGATATTTGACCTCTAAAAGTCATACGAACAAGCTGATTTTTGCTGAGAATGTCCATTTTGGGATCCCAAAAATATGCAAAAAAGTTTAGTAACCCCTACCCCCAGCTCTCCTCTTAAATACCCCTAGGAGGGGAAGATCGATTTACTAAGAATCTGTACGATGTAGAAAAAAATGTTTCAAATAAAATCGTAGCTGAGATAATTTTGAACAAAAATGTTTATTAGCACTGTTTGTGTAGAATGAACTGTTTTCTCATAAACAACGCTTGAAGCAACCGGCGATGTTGAATCTCAGTTACGCGCGCGAAATTGATTTTGAAAAAAAATTTTATCAACTCGACGGTAAAAATTCGATATTTTTTGGTCAGAGTGTCCTATCGACAAAAATCAAAATGTCTTTTAAAGGACAAGAGTACAGCTTTTTGTATGAAATTTTTGTGTCTTGTCGTAAATGAAGTCAGATTCTATCAATCTGTTGAATAAATAAACTTTGAGCGATTTTTGTCATGTTTTACGATTGTCGTGAAATTAATTAAATTTATCAATTCCATTGACCGGTCGTGGTGGACTTTTATGATTAGAGCCTAATCTTTAAAGCCTATAGCATGAAATTTCGATTATGAGTTTTGGCAAAAAATATGAGGCATTTGAAATATGCCTAAAAATGCAGATTTTAAACTATTATATTATAAACGATTACACGTAACGGGAAATGCCTTCACAAAGAGGTTGTATCTGAAGTTATATAGTTTTGTAAAAACCTACTCAAACAATTGAAAAAGCAGTTTTAAACGTTTTAGATCGTTTGTTATGTGAAAGTTTAAATTTATCGTTTTTTAGGAATATTTGCCTCGGCAAAAATGCCTCACATTTGTTTCTAACACTCATAACCGAAATTTCATACTACATGATTTAAAGATTAGGCTTTAGAAATGGAAATTCCATAGTCACCAGTCAATGAAAGTAATAAATTTTATTGATCTTATGAGAATCGTATAAAATGACAGAAATCCTGCAACGTTTATTTATTTAACACGTTTATAAAAATTGACTTTATTTGCGGCAAAATACAAAAACTTCATACGGAAGCTGCGCTCTTTATCTTTAAAATGCATTTTGATTTTTGTCGATAGGACACTCTGATTAAAAGATATCGAATTTGAACCGTTGGGTTGATACAAATTTTATTTAAAATTGATTTCGCGTGCGTAACTGACATTTAAAAACGCCGGTAGCTTCAGCGTTGTTTTTAAGAGAATAGTTCATTCTAAGTTCATTCTAAGAGAATGTTCATTTTTATTAAAAATTGCTATATTTTCTCTAAATTAATCTCTGCTATATTTTTTATTTGAAAAATTTTTTTTTCTACGGCGTGAAGATTCTTGGTTAATCGATTTTTTCCGTTTTTCCCTCCGCGCGAAACGGATTTTAGAAGAAAGCCCATAAGTAGGAGAGGTAAACTTTTTGCATTTTTTTAGGGTTTCAAAATTGACATTCTCATCAAAATTCAACTTGTTCGTATAATTTTTAGAAGTTCAGTTGCATTTTCGTCTCTGACAGCTATAGTATTAGATAACCTCGTTTAGGCTTACACTCCTTCAAGAAACTGCTCCCTTTTTTAACAGGAATCGGAAGTGGGAGTTCTAGTGGCGTTAGCTTCTTCGGAGTATTTTGAGTTGCTAGAAAGAAGAGGAAGAGAGAATAGAAATGTAGGGGAGAGTAGTACACAATGAGACATGGTACACAATAAGACATTCTAATTGTTTTTTTTATTTACCGCCAAGTTTGAATTCCGCAATCACTTTAACGAATTAACAACCATTCAAGTACGAAGGGTAGCATATGATATAGCAATTAAAAATAATATTCTAGTTCCAGCGAATTGGATCAAAGATAAAATAGCTGGACTCCATAATTCCCTTCATTTTTAAATAGGCGTGGGAACCTCAGTATACGTCATCCAGAGGGTTGCAGTTTATCAATATTAACATCATTTAATCCACACAATGTCAACAAGTTTTTCGACAATTTACATGCCGTTTATTCTAGATATCCATTAGCTGTGTCTAATATCAGCGTATATAACCTTGATGAAACTAGTACAACAACAGTACAGAAACCTAAGAAAGTCGTGGCGGAGAAAGGTGTAAAACAGTTAAATAGTTGTACTAGCGGTGAAAGGGGTATTCTTATTACTACATGTGTAATTGTATGTGCGAATCGTACGTTTCTGCCTCCTGTTACAGTTTTTCCAAGAAAATATACGGAGCATTATATAGGAGCTATTATGAATAGCGAGCTGTTTGCAATGGCGCACCCAGGGGGGGGGGGAGTTTGGGGGTCAAACCCCCCCAGGACCCTATTCCGACACTGTTATTTACAAATTTTAAGGACTTAAAATGGTGAAGGTAGCATAAAAAAATTTCGGTGCCCAACCAAAACCCCCCAGAGGACAATTCTAGGTGCGCTACTGGCTGTTTGTCAACGGTATGAAACATTTCATCAAATTTAGCAACAGTTCAACCCTTCCATACTGAGCTACGACAATCATGAGAGTCACATAACATATCAAGTTGTTCAACTGGCAAAGGATAATGGTGTAATCATACTGACTCTGCCTCCACATTGTAGCTACAAACTGCAACCCCTTGATGTTTCAATTTTCTCTCCCTTTAAAGCGTATTACAATGCCGCTATAGACTCTTGGTTGCTGAACCATCCTGGTAAACTTATTTCAATATACCAAATTGCACAATGTGTAGGAGAGGCACATATGAAAGCATTAACACCTAGGTACTAATATTTTGTCAGGTTTTAATAAAATAGGAATTTTTCCCCTGAATAGAGACTTTTTTCTCAATTCTCTTTATTTTCTCTTCAGAAAAATAGATTTTTTCTGAAGCTGACTTCATTGGCTCTTCTGTGACTGATAGACCAAATAAAACTGAACAGCCAAATTCACTATCAGAGTCGACAGAAATGTCTAGTGTGCATTTCAATCAAGTTATATCATTCTCATCGAAGACACATGAAAACACACCAAGGACACTTGAAAAACCGATAATATCTCAAGACTCAAAGTCAATAGTACCACCATCTGCGAATTCAAGTTCTTTCATGTTCCTCATGAGTTTAAATGATTTCCAAAAGCAGAAAAGAGAAAAGGTGTAAAGGCAAGGAAAACTAAAAAAAGTGCAATTTTAACTAACACACCTGACTTTGATCAGTTAAAACTGCAAGAAACAACCCAAAAAATGACTCCTCAGAATAATAAACGAATTAAGGTCAATTTAAATAACGTAAGCGGCTCAGCACCAAAGCAGAAAAAAAATAAACGAAGTAATAGCACTTCATCCGAGGAGAGTGAAGAACTAATTAATTACGGTGATTCTTCTGGCGATGAATGTGAAAATTTACATTTGGAAGACGATTATAATGGCATTGATGCTAGTACAGAAATTTCCATTGATAGTTTTGTATTAGTGAAATTTGAAAACAATATATTTTATGTTGCTAAAGTTCTCAAGACATTAGACGATAATGAATTTAAAGTGTCATTTTTAAGAAAAAATGGTAAGCTTTAAGGCTGTTTCATTATTCCTTTAGTCGAAGATATTGCTGCAGTAGCAAGGTCAGACGTCGTACCAATTCTACCAAAACAAAAAAATGTAGATAAAAAAAACAAGCGCCTTGCATCTTATTTCAAATTTGATGTAAAGTTTGACAGTATTAAGATCCGTTAAAATTTTCTTTCATTTCAGTTTTTCTATTGTACCTGTAAAATTGCTATTTTCAAAAATAAAAACTACTGTACCATTGGTGGTACACAATGAGACAGATGTAGACGGTTAGAAAAATAATCATAGATTTTGTTTCTTCACTTATGAGGGAATAATCATATTGATGTCTGGTTAACTCAGTTTGTAGAAAAATTCAAAAATGTCGATGTTAGAAGTAAAAATGTGTTTTTTTCTCATTGTGTACTACCTTCCCCTATAGGTTAGCCACGCTTATTGCTCAGAGAAGAATTTCAGCTGTGTTACCAGATATACAAGTTTTCGGGAACGGCACTTGAATTCAGCATTTTTGGATTTAACTACAGTTTGGTATTTACGATATTGGAGAGGTGCATCTTCTAGGACGTGAAGTACTCATCAGAAAGTTGGTTGGCTACTAAAGTGAGAATCCTAGCTGATGGGAATGTAACTTTTTCCTTGGGAAATCTGGTGAGTATTTGCCCACGGTGGCTGTAAGAACTTTTAAGAACCTCGCTACAACGTATTTCTTACTGAGAAAATGGATCCGACCTTGTATTGTTGGGATATTGGCAACAGGAGAGAGATAATCTCTCTTTCCTGTTGCCGACCATAATGTAGCTTCGCCTATTTTAAAAATTT